GCAAAAGCACGCTTTTAATTTTTTATCTTATTAAGTTTAAAATTTTTAACCCATCACTTTATATTATAATATTTTTAACCTCTTACTTCATTAGATTTATAAATTTTAATCTTTCACTTTATATTATGATACTTTTAGTCTCTCATCTATTAAAGTTGAAGAAAATAGTCCTCACTTTATAACATTTTATTAGTTTTATTAATTAACTATTAATTTTATTAACTGATTGTTAGTTAATTTTAATTGATAAAAACCTTCTTTCAGGTAATAGAATTAATATAATTAATTTTATAATATTTTGTTAATTATGTTAATGAATTATTAATTGACTGTTAGTTGACAAAAATCTACTTTTAACTAATAGAATTAACAATCAGTATAAAATAATAACTATTTTCTTCAATTTAATAAATGAGGGGTTAAAACCTATAAATCTAATAAGGTAAGGGAGTATAAGTGTCATAATTAAGGCAATGGACTAAAACTTTCAAATTTAGTAAGGTGAAGGGCTCAAAGTAGCTTTTTACCTAAAATTACTTAATGGACACAAAATGTAGAGCCCCGTCTTTCCTCCGACATGGCGTTGGTAGGTCAACATCGGCCAATTAAAATTAATGGGTGGACCATGTTTCAGCTTCAAACATATTCATGTGACATACTATTTGATTGGTACCATAGAATCCCCCCCCCCATAAGATCATGCACCAGCAGTTCTTTAAAATAAAGACACATGGAAAATTTTGTACGATGCCAGTGATTCGATATCAACAAATCTTATTCTAAATCACTTCAAATAATTATGTCTAATTCTATGTCGGAGACCCCAAAAAAAAAAAAAAAATCTTCAGTTCTAAGCTTATGAGTTTACCAGGAAGTAATAAGGTAAAGACATTAATTTCAAAGGAAAGCGACTGGTGTTAAAACGAGTTGTGATTCAGACGTGCAACGGGGGAAGGTCCCACAGTTAAGTTTCTCCGAAGTTGCTAGGATGCTTCCTAATGAATTAAGAATTAAGAGACTTTCCTCCTCACAAACAATCTTCATGAAAGAAATTAAGCAGTTGCGGAAAAGGATTGCGAGGAAAGGACAAATTAAACGTGAGTTTTCAGCATCACCTTATTGTTTTTTGGGGTACAAAGCTCCAACTTTACCTTGGGATGTCACTAGCTCCGTTCAGTCAGTATCAAAACAATGTCATAACTATCAATTTATATAAACCCTGGAGTTTTGCACTGGACCAGACCAGGTTTCATTATGTCTTTTTAAAAAAGATAACATCAAACAACTTTTGATTAATATAAAGAATATTTCACTTAAAATTAAGTGAAACTCCTTTTTTTTCCCCTTTATATTTCCTTTCCTCTAGTCTTTGTTATTTGATTTCCTTCGCTTAAAAATAAAAAGGCTCTGGAGTTTGCAGAGGCAGTTCAAGCTGTAATTTTTACTATAATAGTATTAAAGAAAAATTTGTTATTTAGATGATATTTTAGTTATTTTTAGTTGCAAAACCAGAAATAGATTATGAGTATAGGAACTGAATCATTTTTCTACTTGCAAAGAGATTTCAAGATAGGGGGTTAAACATTTTCTACCCTAAAACGTCGGTATGAATTTATTTAGTTTTTAATTTTTTAAGAGCCATGTCCATTTATGGTTCTATGTGGTTCCACCACTGGTTATGTTTTGTCTAAAATTGAAAATGATCAACAATACTATTAATCAAATGTTGATGAGTAAGGAAACAAAAAAATTATATGTTGATGAGTTAGCTAGCTAGGAAGCATAATGGCAAATTCTTGCTTGAATTGCAATTTTTTTTTTTTTTGGGGGTCAATTGAGACAGATTTTCTACAAATGTATACAATTAATTCTTCACAATTTTGGCAAATGTTGGCAATCTTCATATGAATAAGAATAACTCACCTACGTACCTTTAACAAGAACAACATAAACAAAAAAAAAAAAAAAAAAAAAAAAAAAAAGAGTACTCCATTGCAAACAGATTCATATCTTTCTATGAATCAAATGGTTTTGAACCATTGCTTTTTCCTTTTTCGCTTTTCACTCTTCAATTCCCCACCCCAAAAAATAAATTTCATTTAGAAATTACTAACCTATTTCTTAGACATGTCTGCTAGCTGGGCAGCTGCATATTTCAGAAAAAATTCCTGGACCAGATGTAAAGGGGTAATAATACAATCCCAAAATAAGGAACAAACTTACCAGGTCAGTACCCTCATTCAAAACTACTCCTGAAACCAAACATTCATGTGCTCTAGGAAAACAAAATTCTGTACCCCCCCAATTTCATTCCATCTCTGCTATTCCGAAGTTACACATCCCAAGTAATATCATCCCACGTCACTGCAGGGACTTACAGCTACACTGCTAACTACATGCATATATGGTTGGGAATTTTATAATAATAATAATAATAATAATAAGGAATAAACATTAGATTTTCTTTTGATATATTAGTGTAAATCTAACACCAATTCATACAAAAGAGTACTGAAATTAATTCCTGGAAAATTAAAGGCATTTAACTTGTTATTTAATTGATAGACTAGTAGTAGCAGGCTAATCGATCTCCTTCCTCTCAATTTCAGACCAGCAATTTACCCACTGGAGAAAAACAGTGAGTTTGATGATGACGATGATGCCACTGCATGGTATGATCTTTTCCGGAAACAGTCCAAAGACATTCGCGGTGGTGACACAGCCACCGTCACAGAGGACGACGAGTTCACTCCAGAATCTGGTGGTGACTCTAATTACAAAAGAAAAATTTACGTCCCTTTTTACTTGTTTTTTAATAATTAATTAAGTAATTTATTTACTTAAAAAAATTAAGTAAGCAATTTAAGTAGTAAAAACACCGTAAATTAATTCTCTTACTTGCGAGGTAATCAGGGGAGGAAATCCCGGCTGCTTCAGGCTGCGATTTTTGGCTCTCATGATTCGGTTGTTGCTGAGACTTCCGCCGGCGACGGTTGTGATCGGCCAACCTCTTCCGGCAACTGCGCTTCCCATTATCAAACTCTGAAAGAAGATGGAATCTGTACAAAATTTTATGAAACCCCAAATTAATCAAACAAAATAGGCATTGCAGTTGTTGTTATCAACTTATCATAGTATGATATGATGCACGGACGATAATGCCCTCGGGATTACCACATGTACGATAGACCCAATTATTGGTCCTAGTTTCCTGGATAATAACCCCCCTGGACATTTCAGGGGGGAGCAGAAGGAAAATACGAATGCATGTTAGGGTTATTTTCGTCATTTGGTTGTAAATAAATCGGTTTCGGGTAACAACAGCTTGCATTGCCATAAGTAGCAAAGGCAAACGGTACTTGAAACGGAAAGCACAACAAGGGTTTACGGACACAAATGCCCTCGGGATCACCCCATGTACGGGGTACCAATCATTGGCTACGTGAAGGCACACCTTTGCAGGGGCACTTCTGTCACTCCGGGAGACTTATCTCCATCCTCTAGCAACCAGAGGACACTGTATGATTGATAACCATGATTACTGCAAAACGTAAGTGGCATTTTGGTAAAAAAAAAAAAAGTTTTCCAACCTGCTGCACTGCTGGCAGAATCGCTGAGTCAATCCGGCGGCCATCACGGTGGCGGCCTTGGAGTGAAACTCGCAGACTTTATGGCGCCTATGGTAGTGCTTGGCGTGAGTGAGGTCAGCGTTGCAGCCCTCGGCCTGGCACTGGGGAGAGCTTGTTGAGCCTGTATCACCGTGTCTGGAGCGGCGGTAGAGCCGGTTAACAAAATCGTCTTCCGCGGAAGAGAAATACGTCCGGCCGCCCAAGTTGAGCCCGATTCTCGTCGTGAAATCCAGAGGTGATCTAGCAACTTCCTCCGTCTTGGGGACTAGGAAGTAACCACTGCCGCCTCCCCCCGAGACAGGGTCCAGGGACAGCAAGGAGGAGGAGTGAGGAGCGCAATAGGCTGACGCGCTAGAGTAGGCGCGTGGATCGTAAATGGAGGGGAGATGGGCTTGGGCAGGGTTATGGAAGTGATTGTGATTGTGGTTGGAAAAGGGGTTGACGGTGTTTTGCTGGTGAAGAAATGTTTCGTTGAAGGGTTGTTGGTTGGCGGCGGACGTGTAATCGAAAATCTGGCGGGTCGGGTCAGCCTCCTCCTGCGTCGGCTCCTCCCCAGATAGCATTGTTGCATTTCCCCACTCATACTCCAGCATTTTGTTTCTCCTGCCAGCCGACGAATCCAAGCCGTCGTTTTTATGGTATGCTCTGGAGCTGTGGATCAATTACAGACAAACAACTACAGTTAGAATAAAAATTACTTTGCAGAGAAAAAGAGAGAAACACTGGAAAATGTATCATGATTGGGGGCTGCGACTAACGAGCATGGCTTTTGGGAATCGTCAAAGTCAGGGTTGCAGGCCTAAAAAAAAAAAAAAAGGAAGAAGAAAAGAAAATAGTGTTAAAACTCACCTTAAGGCAGAGGCTAAGTGGGCGGCCAATTGCAGTTGCAGAGTTGCACTGTTCCTTTCTCTCCACTCTGTTTGGCGTGTGCATTAAGATTCTGCTTTCCCTCTTTAAAGCTCCCACCTTTTCTTTTCGGGGCGGCTTGTGCAGTGCTGATTGGAGAAGAACAATGTATAAAATTACTGTTCAACCCATGTGAAAGCTACGTGTCTGTTTGGGGTGAAAAAAGCGAATATATATGCTAATACAATTCTGTGCCGGGGGGGAAAAGGAATTCACTTTCCGGTTCAATTCCAAGTAGATAGGAAAGGGAAGGAATGGAAAGGAAGTAAACAATTAAACATTAACACACAATTTCCATCTCGCTTCTGAGTTTTCCAACTTTATGCAGTCATGGTGATAGCCGTGTTGGTTGGTTTTTGTCTCTCTCTCTGTGTGCAGTCTGCAATGTTAGGCCACGCGGTGCTTTCATTTAAAACCCATGGCCCATGGCCCCCACTTTCCTTGATCAATTGCGCAGAAACCTCATAATTTCTTCACCCTTACACCACTTTCTTTTTTTTTTTTTCTCAAAAAATTTTATTTTCCTTTTGTTATGTGCGACGTAATACTAGTTAGTAATTGAGTTGATTTAATAATGAGAAAGATATTTAATTAGAAAGTTATTTCCGAAATAACACAAGCAGAATGTGTTGGTGGCTGGCTGACCATTCGTCCCTTTCCTTTGTTACTAGACTACCAGCCCAAGTGATTGAGCAATAATATAAGCCCGTGCGTGGTGTTGAAATCCAATACATGATTCCAATTATAGTCCTAGCATCTCCATTTGGATGTAAGATTTATGCTCCATATTTGCAGTTTTTTTTTAAACAAAGGAAATTAATACATATTAGGAAATGAGAATTGAAAAAAAAAAAATACATAAAACTTGAATACGTAATACATAAAAAGTGATTCGCACTGATTTAGAGTTTAAACTTTTAGGTTGAAGCAAGAGAAACCTTTATGTTTTTAACATTAAGTTGTTTATTTTGACTTTCTTAAATTCTACAACATTTAAAAAATTAATATTAATTTGTTTATGCAATATATTATTATGATTATTAAAAAGTTATAAATAAATATAGTTTTAATATTATTATCTACATTTATATTTGTTGTTATTAATATTAAAATTCAAATAAAATAAATTTTTTGTTTATAATTAAAAACTATAACCATATTAAATCAAACCTTAAATTTGGTTTGGGTTTTCTTATAAAATTCAAAGGATATTCTCAAATATTATATATATATAAGAAAAAAAATTTACCTTAAGGGAAGTTTGATATTCAGCTGGGTTTGGGATGAACCAGTATCCAAACACTCCGTATGTAGGTGGAGGGGCAAGGGAGGGCATGATATGTAAATAGAAGGAAAGAGAAGGGTAGATGGGGGTGGGGAGGGAGGGGACGGGGATGGTACGATGTATGATCCGCTGTTGCAACCCAGCACTTGCACACATCTTGCCAACTTGGCCACGCGCCGGAATCCGGAGAGATGGGTTCTCTACAGTAGGGCGGGGTATTAAAATATTAAAGAAAACAGGGGCGGAGGGACGTCGCCCGGCAGTCGGAAAGAAAAAAAATAAAGGGCAACAGCGGCGGAGGAAGAGGAGGAGGAGAGCGGTGAGCACAGGGTCGTCTGGAGGGCATCTGGTAAAAGCCTGACACAGACATTGACTCTTGGGTACGGACTGTCCACTACTTAGTCAGACACTTATTTCAATGAAGTCATCATTGTAACAGTTGTACCATTTACATTAATCAGGTTACAGATTTTTTTTTTCTTTTTATTTTTTTGGGTTATAAATTGAAAATTGAGATCAAAGAAAATCATGAGCCTAATTAATCAACGTATACAAAGTTTCATCATAGATTTTTAAACAATTTACCGTACAATTTAATATTAAAAATATTAAAATATATTAATTATTATTTTTTAATAAATCCAAATATGCTAGGTTACTACTACTAATATTAATTTTATTTTTAATAAACTATCAAAAAGACCTTATAAAATTTTCATACTTGGGTTTTTGGTCTCATTAGCAATAAAATCATGTTAAAGTACATTTTTTCTTTTTTAGGTAACAATTTGAATCCAATCTTTATAAACATGTTATAAAAAAAAAAAAACCTTATAAAATTTCGAATATGTATATATATATATATATATATTTTTTTACAAATTTGTAATTGTATGGTTGTTTAGAGAAAGTAATGATACGCGGGATGATTTTGAAGGACGAAACCATAGGACGATAAGTTAAGCAATCCAACAATTGATTATTGTTGGGACTGCTTAACTTGTCGTCTCGTGGTTTCGTCCCCAAAAACTTCCCAAGTATCATTACTCTTGAAGAAAACTGCGAATATATGTTATTACTTTGCAAAGATTCATACAACAAAATTCAAATTATAGTACATGATAATCTTACTTTATAATTTAAATCATATTAAATTTTAAAATAAAAATTATTAAATAAAAATAATTTTTATCAATTTAATAATTACTATTAAAAATTTTATTATAATTTAAATTATAAAATACTTCGTTTTTTCCATAATGGATAATGCAATTTCAGTTGTGTTTGAAAAAAATAATAAAATCATCGTGAGTAGACGAGCTCAATTTCCAATTTCTGACTGAAGAATTTCGATGGTTTGGTTTATTCCTTTCTGTTGGGAACAAGGGAAAAACCATGGACCCGAAATTTGACACACGAATGGGAGAAGCTCACACGTGTGACGTGTATGGCTGCCGACGAAATTTCCTAATAAATAGCACCCTGCAGCTTCGCATATTGTTTAGCCTGAGTTTCCCAATGAGGTTGCATCTTGTGCGGAAAAAAAAGGCAGAAGCAGCCAAGAATGGCCTGTAATGCCATACCCTTTGGCCTTTTGCATTGTCAACATCAAATACCTTCCGCCAAATAGATCAAAACAATAATGCATCAATCTCTCTTAGCTCTAAAATAAATGTTGCTGGCATTCTGAACCATGTCATTAAACACAAACTCACACCCATGAGCCTGTTTTTTTTTCAGTGAATCATTCACGTGTGAATCAGTATGATATATATATTGCTTTGAATCATTATTCATAGTAACATTAAAGAGTGCAGGAGGAACTTGAGCCTGTATACTTTGATCGAATCAGAAGTAATTTCCTCAGTTGTACTAGTGAATAATACCAGACAATTCAAGATGTCTATCATGTCCGTAGAGGTGAAAGATGCCTTGTAAGACAATCTACTGCTATGATGATATCGATAATGAGAACTAAAATTTCAACCTCTGCTTTCATCCGAAGAATGTCCATTGGCAGTGATCCAGGTGCTTTGCTCCATACAAGAGATTTTTTTGAGCTACTTGAGGGCATCCACACCATTTGCAAAGGTTTTGTAGGCTGCTCACTCTCTGCAATGGAAACAGGTATACTGGTAAATCAATTCATAAACCAAGATTGCTATCTATATTAATGGCACCAGTGGAGAAGTGAGTCTATGATGCAGTCATATAAGAGGGTAATCAATTTATGATTTAATTCAATTTGCAACTACTGAAGAGAGACTAGCATACCAGAACAATGTCTGAACAATCTTAAAAGTTCCATCCTGGATAATGCAATGAGACTTTTTTACTAGTAGCAGATTTTCTGATTCCATCTTTGCCAGCTCAGGGCAACAAAACCTATTCTATCTTTTCTTTTTTGCTGGTCAGTTTTGGGGTGAGAAGAATTGAAGAGGACCACATGACTACAAGATGAACAGGACCACGTGAAAGCAAGAAAACAAGGATGTTACATGCCATTCAACTAGTTAAACAGTCCCCACATAACTTCCACAGCTCATTGAAAGTAAAAATTGAAATGGTCCCTGAATCTAGACCTTCCTATCATGATATTCTTCTTGAGGTGAAAGCAAAATAATTAAAGGAAGGAACCAAAAACCATTATTTGCAGTCATGAATTGTCACTGTGACAAAGGAGATGGAAACTGCACAACAACTCCAAACCAATTGTGGAAGTAGATGACATACGTAACTTAATGTGCCACTGATGGTGTTAGGTCCTAAATTTAACAAACTGCGATAGGGATCATATGAGCATCATATCGCAAGCACCTTTCACAGGTAAAGTTCCTTTAAGCAACTAATCACAAGACATTTACAATTTCAGAGTGAAAAGAAAACAATTATCTTCCATGCACATTCCAAAAGCAAAAGCAAATGAAAATCTGCATCATTAAACTGCTGCCAACAGTGAGCAAATGTATTTTCCTTAAAAATTAGGGAGCTAAAAATATAAAGTGACACATGGCAAAGATAACTCCCAGTTTGTCAATCAGTCTAACTGTTGGGATAGCACTGCAGTTGGCAGCCCTATCAGCTGTTGCCACAAATACAAAATGGATTCAATCACAAAACCAGGGACCTAAGTCACAACTCATAAGGGGCCAAGGGTGTAACATAAATGAGGGATGCACAGTGATCTACTCACATTACCCTTACCTCGGCTTGTCAGACAAGGTTACTAAGGATCTGAGGACACCTGGACTGATCTTATCGGCAAGAACTCCTTTTTCTGATATCAAGAATGACTTCTCTTTAACATTGCTTTGCAGTTTCTTTGCTTCATAATCAAGCCGTGCTTGATCTGAATGAAAACAAGGCAAAGAGTCAACAGTTATTTTAAGGTAAATTTTATAACACATATATTAGGAAAAATGTAAATTTTATAACACATATATTAGGAAAAATGTTCCAACAATAAATCCCCAATAGACTTCTATAGCCATGCTATAAGACATATAGGATAGAATGTTGAATCAGCAACAGCCACAATGGCAAAGAATTAGAGAAAACAGTAAAAACAGAAAAACTTATTCAGAGCAGTTGAAGCCCTTGCAGTTCAAACCTGTCTCCAAAATAGTGTGGGCAGCATGAAATGGGATCTTTCCAAAGATATCAGTTCCAGGGAACATCATCCATGTGGGCTCGTTTGAGTCATGGTTGCCACAGGTTGCACAAACCTCCTTCACCAATGGTCTGGATCCAGGCCCCCCAATGTCCTTCATTATTGACTCAAAAGGGGATGGAACACTAGTTTTTGTTGTTCGTGCCCTCTTCCTCAGTGCAGTAAGTGCCTCCCTATTCCCATTCCTCATTTTATCATTTTCAACCAGCTGCATTCCCAGTTAATACTAGTTATCCCATGTTTCTAATCTCGCATCATTCTAACTATTTTAACATAGGAAAAATAAAACTTTGAAACACCAAAGACATGATACTCCAATACCCGAACTAAGCAAGCTGTACCATTTATTTAAGATTTTGTCTTTCCTATGGGCAAATAGACTTGGTTCAGAGCATGCACTGACCACAACCCCAAACAAAAATGGCCACCATTGGTAAAGATATAAATTTAAATAAGCTCTTAGCATTCATATTTTCCAATTTTTTTTCTCATTTTAATGAGTTTTCTTAAGAATTAAACAAGTTCAAGGTGTTTATTTTCTGGGGGAAGGAAAAACAAAAAAGGAGAAGACTTTAAGCTCCAGTTCACCTCATGGCGGGCTAATAGCAGATGCTCGGCTTCAGTTTCAAGCTCAATCAAGCTTTGCTGGAATTGCTTCATGTTCTCATCCATTTTCCTGAGATAACACAACTTTTATAAACTGGGAAACAATCGAGAAAGAGGGAAAATTGACGACCGCAAAGGTAAGATATTGATTACTGGAAATTTTCAAAATTTGGTGCCTTTAGGCACAAATAAACAAAGATGAATCAACTATTTGTCATAACTATCAGAGAATGCAAGTAAGACAATTACCCTTTCGAGAGAGCTTGTGATTGCGGCGGTGGAGAGAGGAGACGCCCTTCTCTTCGTAAAGCTCGCAGAAGCTGACCCTCCTCACGCGCGGCCAAAACCCTACTCAAGCGGGATATCTAAGAAAAATCTTTGCCATTTATCTCCCAAATTGTATATATAGAGTCGCTGCGAGGAGACAAGATGGAAGAAGGAGAAGCGG